ATTTTCATATTGCAAAATGTTTTGAAATTATGCCAAATGTAACTTATAGTCCCAGAAGCTGACATTTTAAGATAACAGGACATACAAATCATATTATGCTAATGTGCTATAAATGTATCACTACCCATATGAACGATGACATAGCAGTTATGTTTATAAAGTAAAATAACAAAAAGGGCTCAAATTCCTTTATTCAGGCTTTGAAACACATGGTGAGATTTCATGAGGCTCATTTATTGATACTAAGTGCCACCCTGAGCACTTTATACCTGTTATCTATTTTACGCCTCACAACAACCCTGTGGTGGATGGAGGCTCTGAAGCTTAGAAGGATTCAGCTACTTGCTCAAGGTCACTCAGTTAATAAGCAGCAAAGCAGAGACTTGAATGTGCCCTGAGAACCTTCTAACACCAGAGCCTCTTACCTAATGCTCATTATTACGTAGCTTCCTTTTGCCTCCTTGTTTTCTTGTGGGCAACACTGAAGTCGCTTTTGTTGCTAGAGTTTATACTATTGAATGTGGGAGGAGGTTGTCTGAAGCCTGCCTGGCAGACAAAGGAAAACTAATTTGAGTTTCAAAATGTGAATTGAACAAAGTTGACAGAGCTCTGAGAAAATAGGTACATGTATGCTGCTACCATTGCAAATGGGTTCAATATTTCTGAAAGCTATCTGATAACATGGAATGAGAGCTATAAAACTTTTCTTGCCCTTTGACTCAGTAATTTCAGTCTTTAGAATATACCCCAAGGAAATAACACAAAAGAAAAAGGTAATTTGTTCAAGATGTTCATTCGGGGCATTTGTATTTAGTGAAAAACAGATAAAAACCCAAATTCTCAGTAATAGGACAATGACTGAGCAAACTAAGCTGAGTAGAAACAGAAAAGGAAAAGAAGAAAACTGTAATTTCTCAAAATGTAGAATACATTTATGTGGGGACATATGTGTAAGAAATAACTTTAAGCCAGACTCGGTGGCTCAGCCTATAATCCCGCGCCTTTGGGAGGCTGAGGTGAGTGGATTGCCTGAGCCCGTGGGTTCGAGACCTGCCTGGGCAACTTGGCGAGACCTCATCTCTACAATAAATCAAGATGAGCTGGGCGTGGTAGCGCGCGCCTGTAGTTGCAGCTATTTGGAAGGTTGAGGCAGAAGGATCGCTGGAGCCTAGCAGGTTGAAGCTGCGGTGGCCAGGAGCGGCCCCCGCACTCCAGCCTGGGTGACAGAGTGAGACTACAACTCAAAAAAAAAAAAAGAAATAACTTTAGGTAAAACGTAGAATATGAATTAGCACACAATAAGGCTAATCTTGTACAACCAAGTAAAAAAGTATGTATATTAATATTAATGCAAACGAATTACAAAGTTGTAAAGTAGTATATCTTCTTTTTCATTATAGAAAGCCCAACACTGGAGTACCTGGCATATAGATTGTCTTTAATAAAAACTTTTTTTTAAAGGAGGACAAGCAGAAGCTATTTATTCAGATCTTGCTATAACAAGAAAGTCAGCACCATCACTGGCAGACAAAAGAGGAGTGGACAAATATGGTGAAAAAACAGAAGACTGTGGGTATGCTCTGATTGGAGGTTGCTGATGTGGAGAAGCTGAAGGCGGGCTACTTAGAAGCAGGGGAACATATCTGACTTTCTCTCATTGGCCCTGAGTTGGAATATGTGGTATGTGGGGGTGCAGGGTAGGATGAGGGCAAAAAATATAGGGAAGCTGGCTGTCACTGACCAAATACGACTACTGTACTGGGCTAATTGCTGCAGAGATTGTGATTTGACTTTCTAGGCTGGCTGCTGAAGAGAATGCGGGTCAGAGTTTCACAATCATGGTCTGGTCATTGTCTAGTTGTTTAGCCAATTGCTCATACAGGCTACTGGTTTAATATAAGAGATTGTTACTTAGAAACAACCAGATGGAATTGATGCATAGAGCAAGGCATGGGGGAAGGAGTACAGAGCTTCCAGTTTCGCTTAGGGCATACTACCCTCCCATCACCACCATGTTTTCAACAACCCAGAAGCTCTACTTAATAAAAATTTATAGACTTAAATTAGACACTTAACTGAGACCTAACTGCATCTCACATGTATTAATGTGCTGTCAGTAAAAGCTAATCTTCAGTGAGGACTTATTATGTGCTAGGTGTTCTTCCAAGTTCTTTCCCTGTGTTCTCTCATTTAATCTCCTTACAACACTATGAGATACATATTACTGTTATCACCCCTCTTCTAAAAGGAGAAAAATGATGGCACAGAGAAGCTAAGTAACTTGCCCATGGTCACACAGGCCACGGCAGAGATGGAATTTTAGCTCAGATAGACTCACTTTATGGCAATGCCACCATGATGCCTTTGTTGTCTTTCCTTATTTGGAAGAAATATCTAGATCTTGTTCTCTCCTACTAACCACCTTTAGATTTTGTTTTCTAGAAGCAATTAACAGCAATCAGCCCAGAACAGTAAGGGTTAAGTCAATGACATCCAGCTTCCCTAATTTTTTGTCCCCATCCTGCCCTCCATCCCCATATGCTTTCAACTCAGGGCCAAGAAAGAAAGTCACAGCTTTTCTTTTTCACCATTCGTGTTTGGTTTGCAATATATACAACCCTTGCAGCAAAGAAGAATAACCAGATCCAGAAGTTGTTGAGATGAAATACTCTCTATCCAGGATCACCTGCATGAACATAATCTACCTGACCTAACTGGTAGGGCTTCCTTCCAAGAAGGGAAAGCAGAGTAGGGTTTTTAAGTCAAGTAAGGAAATTGTAGAGATTGGAAGATAAAATGCTACTGTGGGCACACAAGGTAGTTGCAGAATTGAAAAATGTAACATTTAGAAAAAGGAAATACTCAAATGAGGTTGAATCTAAGAAATAAGTTGCTTAGGGATAAGTGACAGATCAAAAGAATATTTTTAAGCTCTTAGAGAAAATATTAGTTCAAAATATAAAAATTTATGTTTTATACTTGACTAGTTTCTAATATTTTTATAAAACATTTGTATGGTCTTATTTAATTATCCTGCCTGGGATAACATAGTTGTTCCATGAGAAAACTTCAAGTCAGAGGTAAGTAGCAGCCCCCAAACAGCTGCTTGTCATTAGCTGAGCTAGTACTCAGTCCCAAGCTCTCATTCTTAATAGAGCTAAACATTGATACTGTTCAAGAAAAGTACAAAGCCCTGTGCAAACCTTCTTTTTAAATCATTCAAAGCTCATGAAACCTTATCTCATGAGTATAAATCTACTGAGAAAAGTCCAGAAAACAAATATAAATGGAATATAAAATGAGAACTAAATATATAGTGAGATCCCTTTAATTGGAGGCAGCAGAGCAAAGGTAGGACACTGCCTGTGTATAAACTAAACTGTTCAAGGGATGTCTAGGGTATGTAGTGGTTACATTTGGAAAGATACAAAAACCTAAATCCTTCTATCTAAATCCTTATAAGAGGCATATTCTATCTCAGAACACTATTATCTATTGATATAAATTGTGCAAAGTGAAATTTTTGCTTTATCTGTATATTCTATGGAAACATTTTATGTGAATAGGGTGCATATGTTTATATTCATTTCTAAATATTCTATCCTTCTCACCTGGTCTGATGGAGACCAATCTCACTTCAGAGGTCAAATCAAATACTCTCTCTTTCAAGAAACCTCTCCAGATCCTTCAAATGAGTATAACCCTCTCTTTCCTAGGTGCTCATAGCATATCTTAGAATATCTTGCTGATGAGTCTTGCCTCTTGCTTTGTAGCACCTGGATGGCATAACAATGGGAATTTATCTTTGTGTTATAGCATTACAATAGAGATTTATCTTTATGCCTCCTATGACTCCAACATAAGTTTGTTGAAATGTAATAAATCATTTGAGGCCCTCTCATGCTCTATGAGTTTATAAACCTTTACAGATATTTGGGCTGCTTCAGCTCCACTATAAAAATAACCTACACCAAGGACTCTCTTCACTTGAAAAATCTTCTTGCTTCCTTACAACCGTATTTCACATTGACCTTCTGTACCAGAACATTTGCATTAATTTAATATATTAGTAATTAGTACTGGTAAATAGCAAACGCACATCCAGAATGTTAAATTATAAAGCACTTTTTAATCAAATAAGAATATGAGAGTCATCAAACTTAAATAAACTGATTTGAGATTTGTTTTTAGCACAAATATCATAAATATTCGTCAGATTTCATTCCACATAAAGGTAGGAGCTTCAAAGCAAGAGCTTCAGTTCTTTGAGGGCTCTCTTTTAATATAAGCTGGCAAATAAACTACTGGTGAAAGAACTTCAAATTCCAGAGCAGAAAGTACATTACTTCTATGAAGGTCAAATGCTCTTCAGGGACAAAAGTAATGTTCTTTTCATTAGCAATTTGGAATACCAATTAAATAACATTCATTTTATTGAGATTTTTATATAAAAATGAGAAAACAATTTTTCATTGTAGTTATAAAAATACAAGAGAAAGTGCTGAGTTTCTGAAACACAGTAATCTTCCTATATTCCCTATCTTCCCTTAGGCCATGTGTGGTGGTATTGTGATCCTCAATTAAAAAGCTTACTTATAAGGAAGATAAAGACCAGGGAATTACAAGACTACTACAGATGCTTATAATGAAAGGCAAGCTAAGAAAAAAAATGAAGTAATTATTTTCAATTATATCACATTCTATGAAATATCAAAAAACTCCCATTACATTTTGTATAACATGAGAAAAAACTCTTTGATCCATGAATAGGCTAATCCAACAGCTATTCATGTTATTTCTACTATCATGACGGGGGCATCTGCAAAGCTACGGCCAGGCTATGGAAGCTGTGACTTAATACCTTGAAAATTGACTCTATACCACTTTACCTCTGCTCTGCCATGCCATTCAACTGACAATAATTCAACTGTCTTTTAAGGAAGAATAGCAACCAATGATCAAGAAGGAAAGTACAAGTCACAAAAGCCATGAAATCTTACTTTTTCATCGTCTTCAGTAAATGGAGCACCTTCAGGAATCTTATTTATCGCTTGGGCCACACCAATAATCTCACCATCACTGCTTCGGATAGGCATGCACAATAATGATTTTGTCTTGTATCCAGTTAGTTTGTCAATTTCGTCATTGAATCTTCGATCCTAAAAATAAGATAAAGAAAACATTAACTGCATATGCATTGTTGTCAGGGAGGAGAGAGAGGTGTATTTCTATATATAATACCTTATCACTGGGAACCTTCTCCAATGGGTTTTTAATCATTATAACAGATTTGATTTCATGTTAATTCACACCAAAGGAAGATAAATTATATTAAATCATGATCATCATTGCTTCTGGGCCAGCTTCCAGCTGCCGCTTTGAATACTTGCTCTGTGATGGACTCCTCCTGGGCTGCAGCACTCACTCTCCTTAGTCATCGGACCTTGTACAAATTGTCACAGACTATGTCCATGCAGACACATCGCAGAAAGTTGCCACGGCTGGCCTTTTGGACTCTCAGCTTTAACCTTTGCTGGGCTTTGTTATTTCTACTATCAGGATGGGGGCATCTGCAAAGCTGTGGCCAGGCTATGGAAGCTGTGACTTAATACCTTGAAAATTGACCGTATGCCCCTTTTTACCTCTGCTCTGCCATACCATTCAACTGACAATAAAAGGAAATAAGTTCATTGTTGAGACAAGCTTCTCCTCCTAATCCTATGGTTATTTTCAGAATTTGATCTTTGATAAAAAGTTAGAGAGGAATTGTATCCAAGAAATTGTGAGATTGAATTCCATTATTCAGTGAGTTAGGGGATTATTTCCCAAATTTTTTTTTTTGTTGTTTATGTAAACATATTTTATTTTATGCTTATTCTAAAAATTTATTTTTTTTTTATTTTTATTTTTTTTTCATTAATCAGTATTTTTTATTATGGTTTTGTGGGGTACAGTTAAGGGTAGGTGTACAATGACGTTTCATTCAGGCACCCTGTAGATAAGAAGTGCTTTCCCATCCCCCGACAGATATTTGCCACTGTTAATCCCATCCCCCTCGCCCCCATAGTTTCCCAGTACCATCCGTCATTTTCTCATAGTATTGCATTGGATGTTCAAGGTCCATTATATGAGTGAGAACATGTGATATTTGGATTTTTGTTTTTGTGAGAGGTCACTCAGTATTATAGACTCTAGTTCCATCCAGGTTGCAGCGAAATTCATGATTTTGTTCTTTTTTATGGCTGCGTAGTATTCCATCGTGTATATGTACCACATTTTTTTAATCCAGTCCTCTTTTGATGGGCAGCATGGTTGTTTCCAGGTTCTTGCTATTGTGAACAATGCTGCGATAAACATACGTGTGCAGGTATCTTTTTTATAGAGTGATTTGTGTTCTTCAGGGTATATTCCCAGTAGGGGGATTGCAGGGTCATATGGAAGGTCAATTTTTAGAGCTTTTAGGAATCGCCACACTGCTTTCCACAGAGGTTGCACTAGTTTACACTCCCACCAACAGTGTAGAAGTGTTCCCTTTTCACCACACCCTCTCCAGCAGCTGTTATTTTTTGAGTTGTTGATAATTGCCATTCTGACTGGAGTTAGGTGGTATCTCAGTGTGGTTTTGATTTGCATCTCCCTGATGATTAGTGAGGTTGAGCATTTCTTCATGTGTTTGTTGGCTGCTCGAATGTCTTCTTTTGTGAAGTGTCCATATCTTGCCCATTTTATAATGGGGTTGTTTGTTTTCTTCTTTTCAGTACATTTCAGTTCCTTGTAGATCCAGGATGTTAAGCCTTTGTCAGACCTAGAGTTGGCAAATACTTTTTCCCAGTCTGTAGGCTGTCTCCCTGCTCTCTTGATGGTTTCTTTGGCTTTGCAGAAGCTTGTCAGTTTAATAAGGTCCCATTTGTCTATCTTCTCCTTAAGTCCTGTGGGTTTCGGGTTTTGTACAGGAATTGGATGCCAGTTCCGATTTCCATGAGAGTATTTCCTTCCTTTTCTAAGGTTCTTATGGTTTGAGGTTTTACATTTAGGTCTCTGATCCATTTGGAGTTAACCTTTGTGCATGGGGATAGATAGGGGTCCTGTTTCAATCTTCTGCATGTGGTCAGCCAGTTTTCCCAGCACCATTTACTGAATAGGTTCTCCTCTCCCCATTGGTAGGTGGTGAAAGCTTTGTCGAAGATGAGTTGGTTGAGAAATTGAGGTTTTGCTTCTGGAATCTCAATTCTGTTCCATTGATCTATATGCCTGTTCCTGTACCGATACCAAGCTGTTTTGATGATTGTAGCTTTATAGTAAAGTTTGAAATCTGGTATTGTGATACCACCTGCTTTATTTTTTTTGCTGAGGATTGTTCTGGCTATTCTTGGATGTTTGTGTTTCCATATGAATTCCTGTGTTGTTTTTTCTAGGTCTGAGAAGAATGTTGTTGGTAATTTAATGGGTATTGCATTGAATTTGTAGATTGCCTTAGGTAAGATGGACATCTTCACAATGTTGATTCTTCCGATCCATGAGCATGGGATATTTTTCCACTTGTTCATGTCGGCTTTGATTTCTTTGAGCAGTGTTTTGTAATTTTCATTGTAAAGGTCTTTCACGTCTCTGGTTAGGAAGATGCCAAGGTATTTCATTTTTTTTGTGGCTATTGTGAATGGAACTGTGTTTTTTATTTGGGTTTCTGTTTGTTTATTATTGGTGTAGAGAAATGCGATTGTCTTTTGTACATTTATTTTGTATCCTGAGACTTTGCCAAAGGCTTTTATCAATGTAAGGAGACCTTTGACAGATTCTCTTGGGTTTTCAAGGTACACCATCATATCATCTGCATAGAGAGATAACTTGACTTCCTCTTTTCCTATTTGAATACCTCTGATTGCCTCCTCTTCTCTGATTGCTTTAGCCAGGACTTCCAATACTATGTTGAACAGGAGGGGAGAGAGTGGGCATCCTTGTCTAGTTCCAGTTTTCAGGGGAATTGGTTCCAATTTTTGTCCATTTAGGAGTATGCTGGCTGTGGGTTTCTCGTAGATGGCTTTTACTATTTTGAGGTATGTTCCCCGTATGCTTAGATGTTCAAGGGTTTTTATCAAGAAGGGGTGCAGGATTTTATCAAAAGCTTTTTCTGCATCTAGTGATATGATCATGTGGTTTTTGTTTTGACATCTGTTGATGTATTTAATTACATTTATGGTTTTACGAATATTGAACCAGCCTTGCATGCCAGGAATGAAGCCTACTTGGTCATGATGGATGATTG